TTTTTTTTTTTTTTTTTTTTTTTTTTTTTTGGAATATTTGTTGTCGTATTTTCGTGTAAATGATGAAAAATATTTTTTCAGAGGAACGCACGGATACATGGCACCGGAAGTGCTTTCGAAAGGTGTAACCTACGATTCCAGCGCCGATTGGTTCTCGTTCGGTTGTATGCTGCATAAATTGTTGAAAGGTCATAGTCCATTCAGACAACATAAAACTAAAGACAAACATGAAATAGATCACATGACATTAACCAAGGTGCGTTATTAAAATGCTCCGCGTATTATTTTATACATAAATTATTGCAAGTGTATTTGCAAATTTGATCAAATGATCTTCTTTTTTCGACATTCCTTTTTTTTTCTTTTTTTAAAGATTTAAAGAAATGCTTTTATTCTCGAAGTAGTTAACGATAATGATTAATAAATTATTTTTCCTTTTCATAAAATCTCTTTTCCCATTTTTTTTCTACACTAATACGTAATAACGAACAAAAAGATATTTGATCAAATGCTTGAAAAAAATATATAATTTTTTAAAATTTCTCACGAGACGATAAATATTAAAATTTGGAAAAATAAATAATTTCAGAACGTAGAGCTGCCAGAAACGTTCTCACGAGAATTGCGCTCATTGCTGGAAGGTCTGCTACAACGAGATATCAACAACAGACTTGGATGTCGAGGTGCAGGTGCGGACGAGTTAAAAGAACACCCGTTTTTCAGTGGTATCGATTGGCAACAAGTTTATCTCCAGAAATACACGCCACCGCTTATACCACCGCGCGGCGAGGTGAACGCCGCAGATGCCTTTGATATCGGCTCCTTTGACGAGGAAGACACTAAGGGTATCAAATTGACGGATGCGGATCAAGAACTGTACAAAAATTTCCCTCTAACCATCTCTGAGAGATGGCAAGCTGAGGTAGCCGAAACTGTGTTCGAGACAATCAATAACGAAGCGGACAAGGTATAAATCGTTCGATATTCCTTTCCTCTTTTAATTCTTTCGAGAAAGAAGCAGTTTTTTCAGAATTTAGACACCTCTTCGAAAAAAGTTTTTGTTTAACGAGATAATCTTTTAAAGTTACTTTTATCATCGACATTCCTTTATTTGAATCTTATTTATATATATATATTATACAATTAAATTGAACGAAAGGATTAATATTTTATTGCTTCGTTCTATTCCTTTTCTTTTTCTTTTCTTTCTTTTTCTTCTTAATTTATTTTTTCTTCTTCCCCTCTTAGTTGGAAAATAAGAAAAAAGCTAAACAGAAACAGCGATTCGACGCGGATGAAAAAGGTAAAAAAATTATTATTAATTTTATCGTGTAATTATATTTTGATTATATCGAAGATTATTTGTTGTAGGATCTGATTGCATTTTACACGGTTATATTAAAAAATTGGGTGGTCCTTTCGCGAGTGCGTGGCAAACGCGTTATGCAAAACTGTATCCTAATAGATTAGAATTGCATCCCGAGTCCACGACAAAGCCTGAACTTGTTTTTCTTGACCAGGTAATAAACGAATAAATAAATTTATATTACTTGATTAATAGTAGAAATCATGTATTTTGTTTCAAATATCATAAAAGATAAAATATATATATAAATTAATTTTGAATAATTTAAATTTTACAAAATAAATTTATATTACTTGATTAATAGTAGAAATCATGTATTTTGTTTCAAATATCATAAAAGATAAAATATATATATAAATTAATTTTGAATAATTTAAATTTTACAAAATAAATTTATATTACTTGATTAATAGTAGAAATCATGTATTTTGTTTCAAATATTATAGAAGATAAAATATATATAAATTAATTTTGTGAATAATTTAAATTTTACAAAATAAATTT